TAGGTGTGAAGGTCCTCGGGAGAGGAAGCTCCCACTGCTATTTGGCCTTGCAGACGTGATCTTCATTACAAGGAGTAGTCAACACTGAACCATTCACAAATGAACAGTTCACACATTCAGGTCTAGTGAATTACATAGAGTTGCATTCAAATGTGCAGCACCATGTGACCATTCATTAGGGTTTTCTCTGGAAGGCAAACATTCTAAAACCCAATGGAGCAGAGCTGGGAGTGGAGGAACACACCTGTAACCTTGGCACTTGGAAGGCTGAGGCAGGAGGATCACTATAAGTTCAAGGGCAGCAAAGGCTACACGGTGAGTTCAAGGTCAGCCTTAACTATATAGTGAGATCCTGTCTCAAAACAACAAAACAAAATGCCAGTGAAGCATCCAGATGTAGTAGCAATGCACTCCTATAATCTCAGATACTAAGAGAAGCTGAGGCAGGAAAATCATGAGTTCCAGGCCAGCTTAGGCAATTCTGTAAGACCTTCTCCCCCAAGAAGGCTGAGGATGTAGCTCAGTGGGAAAGATATTCAATTCTTTCTCTATATATGCAAATACATGCATAGATACATGCAAACAAAGGTCTGGTTGCATAACTCAGTCATACAGAGCTTACCTAGAATGAATGAAGCCTTGAGTTCAATCCCTAGAACTGTAAGAAAAGGGGGTCTATATTGAAATAATATTCTTATTAAATATAACATTGAACACAGTTTATATAGGTTTATATAGTTTATATGTAGGTTTATATGGAACACAGTCCTGATAGGTTGGCACAGGCTTTGCTTTTTTTCCATATGTAGAGTAATTTTTTTTTTTTTTTTTTTTACCAGGGATTGAACTCTGGACCTGGTGCTTGCGAGGCAGGTATTTATGTTGCTCAGCTATTTCCCCAGCCCCTGGAGATTAATTTTTTTTTAAATCCTTGTTTATACCTAACTGATTTGCATCTTTGGCTACTCAAATTTATTTATGAGTTTGAATTACAAAACAACTTTTTCTTTGATGGGTCAGATAATAAGTACATATGGCTGGTCTATATCAAACTACTCAATTCTGCAGTTGTTGACTGAAAGTATCCATAAACATGCAGAAAATAAATGTGACTCCCCTTCTTCAAAACTTTACTTGAGACAGTCAAATTTCAAGGAATTTCTAGTTTTCTCAAGGTAATATTCTTTTGATTTTTTCCAAACATTTAAAAATACAAAACCCATTTCTAGTTCATGAGCCATATAAAAATAGATGAGAGGTTAGATTTTACCTGCTGGCCTACTGTGCTGAACCTCTAAATGTCTGTAACTTATAGGCATTTATTTACATCATCTGTGAAACTTTCTGACTTAAACTACTTAAAACCCTCTGGCCCTAAAACCAGGAACGGGGCAAGCAATCTAGGATTTTCTGTCTATAATTAATTCATTCTTTGCTAACTGTCATGTGGTTGGTCCATGTGAGCCAACAGAATTACTCGGACCAAAACATCCAAGTGTCTTGAATATGAAATGTGTTAATTTTGTCCTATATATTATTTGACTCCTATGATTTTATTAAAAGGTCACTCACTACCTGCAGTGCATTTGAAGTATGACAGTGCAGGATTTGTTTTTGACTAGTGGACATTTTTTCAAATGAGGGACTCCCTAAGTTTGGAGATCTTGATTTTCCCATCCTGCCTCACTATTCTACTTCGTCATTTGTTCTTCAGAAATTGTCTGTTTTTGACTTCTAAGCAGATTTATGAATTGGGGTCCAGGCAGCAGGACAAGTAAAGCTGTTGATGCCCAATGCTTGATCTTGGCACCAGTGGTGCATGTCACTAAATCCCAGACTTCCTGGGGCACCGTGTTTTATAAAAGGAAAGTGCTGACAGAGGACTGCTGTCATTGACTTGGAGACCACTTCTCTGGAGAATTCCAGTTATATTCTTAATGGCCCTGCCAAGTTCCCAGTATATTAGTTGTAGCTGTTTGCTGCAAGCCATTTGGGACAAGGAAAGACTGGTGGGACTGTGAAGTAAGTTTTCATCAGTGCGTCGCATGTGATAGGGTTGAGAACTGGCCTTGAGCCTTAACTAGGGTTGGAGTAGCGGACAGTTACAGGTTCAGTCAGTGGTTCTGACATTGCTTGTGGATACATGCCACACTATGACAAGGCTTTTCTTAGCCTGTGATGACAGAAAGGAATGAAAACAATGTGATAAGCTTCACCTAAGTTAAACCTATTGAAAATTTTAATCTTGAAATTGTGCGTGTGTGTGTGTGTGTGTGTGTGTGTGTGTGTGTGTGTGTGTTTCATGTTTAAGGATTGTGGAAAGTTGAAATCGTTTTTTATAGTTAGAACTTGGGTAAGTAATTTGCCCCTCTGAGTGGTCTTTTCCTTTGTAAAAGTGGCCAAATGATAGTGCCCACATCTTATGGTTTTTGAGGGAATTAAAAGATATTATTCATGCAAAATATTTAGGTGGTTGCTGGACATATAGTAATTGCACAATAAATGTTACTCATTCTCATAATAATTGTAATAATCATTGTTTTCAATGAAAATAAAAAATAGAAATTGCCCAGTATTGATTCTATTTTATTTTCCCTGTAGATTGTTTTGGGAGGTTATAGGTGGAAGTGGGATTTTCTGATCTTTAAAATACAAATATATGATTGAGATTAACAGTAGATATGACATGTTCTAGTTAGAGTAATCAGTTTCATTTAAGGACACAACGATAGTGCCTAGGCTAGCAGAGAGACTGTGAAGTTGAGAAGCTGAAATTATTTAACATTTATTTTCTATCTAAAATAATTAGAAGTTAGTCACTGATAGTTTGAAGGTGTAGTAAGATGAAAAGAACAAAATCAAGGGTGAAAGCCAGGGTTTGGCTGGAGGAGAGGAGTAGCAAAAGGCTGGGACACACATATCACGCCATGAGCTCCAATGCGGCTGTGCATAGCCATGCGTGACTTCTCAGCGGGAATGTCAAGTGGGAGGCCGGAACTGAGTGTCAATTTCAGTGGCGATGAGTGGCAATATCTCTGGGGACCCTGGAGACATGGAACGATGGGGTTTAATTCTGTGGTGCCCGATGAGTTGGCCTTGGGAGGGAGACAAAAAGAAGAGAGATTCCCTAAAATTGAACAGTCAGGCAGAAGCCAGCATTCCAGATAGCAGAACTGAGAAGGAACAGGCAGAGTGGAATGAAAAATGGATGTCTGACGTTCAAGAAGAGTGTTTGTGTAAGAGAGAGTAGCCACTCATGCGTAATGCTCCAGTGTGGCTCAGCAGATGGAAGTGTCTGTGGCAGTGGGCAGGGAGGAGGACACCAGTGACCTTGGAATAAAGCATTTCAGCAGGGCTGGGCAGGCGAGAGCCACTCTGCAGTGAAACAGGAGTGGATGGAGATGAGGACACAAAGGGAATAAATGTGGACAGTTCTTTAAGAATTTTCTGCCTGGTGTCCAACCTGCAGCTCTTTCGGTTTTTGATTTGCTTGTGCATTTTGAGCAAAGAAGAACTGACTTGGAGCACATATGGGATAGAGTTCATGTATATGAGTAGCTCAAATACCTTTTAAAAATAATTTTAGTTATTGTAACTTTTTTTTTAAAGAGAAGAAAAGAAAAAGAATGAAAGGCTTAGCCACATGCTGGGCACATTAACAAAGGGGAGCAGAGAAGTGAGCCAAATCCTGAAGCCAACTGTAAAGGTAGGATGGGCTTTGCTTTTGCAGGGGAGAAATCAGAGCGAGTTGATGCTAAGGTGACTCACCCAGTATAAAAATAAGAAGGCACAGAATCAGGGGACAAGCAACCAGCCTTGATTTCATCCTGTGAAAGGCACTACACTAGGGTTTCAATTCCCTGTAGTTGCTATCTTCAAATTCTACATAATTTAATCTGTGAATCTGCTTGTGCAGTGGAGTGTGCAGGAGCAGAGGCCTGGAGCCTTGGCTGATATCCTTCACCTCCCCTTGGATGGGTGCTGGGTTGACTACGAACTGGGACCCCCGACTGCTGCCTCGTGATGCACAGGAGGAGTGTACATGGTGACTCAGCCATGGCTGGAGTGAGCACTGCTTGGGGTGCAGGTTGGTGGGGAAAGGTAGGGACTGTGTCTAAGGTTCTCAGCCTCGTCCAGATATTTAGTATTTCAGGGAGTTTGTTTTGGAAGCAATTGATGATGTGCAAATATACTCATCACCCAGCAAATACTTGTCAGCGATGGTAGTAGAAACACCCAACAATAAAAGGAATTTCATCTTTAGATCAGTCTGCAATCGCAACAAAGCAGAACGAGAGTGAGATACGTGCAAATTAAACCACAGACCTGAAATCAGATAGCCACATGTCTAGACCTTGAATCCTGGTACAACAGGAATCTCATTTATTTCAGTCATTGATGTCCTTCCAGAATGAGTTTACAAAATTAAGTAAACACATGTGGGGATTGTTCTCCAGTAAGAAGCGTCAACAACCAGTGTGTGCTGAGCTCTGGAGCCTACCGTGGAGAGAGGACAGCAGTCTCACCTCCCAGTGGTGTTTGTGCTGCCTTCTGCTGCAGCATGTGCATGTCTCCTCCATGGCCTCATTACTGAGGTGTGGGGATCATGTTTCCTCCCAGAGCTCCTCGTGCAGCTCCCCACTGCTCCTAAGACCTTGCCTTTCTCAGGCTCTGTGATTCTCAGAATCATTTCAGTTGCTTTCACCCATGTGTTTCATGATTAAATTCACCATCCTCATTCTTTTTTTCATCCTCCTCCTCAACCTGTATTGGCCATTTTATTGGTGTGCCACTTCCTGGGTTACTTGGTATTTAGTTACTATTATTTTAACTTACTGAAAATAGAAATCCAAAGTCTTTACTTCTAAGACTATTAACAGATCACTCATAAATAGACTGGACAGGCCCAACATGTCCACCTCCCCCACTAAATCCTACACCATTGCTGAGCTTTGTCCCATTGGTACTATCCGGAAGCCATGTGAAAATGAATGGAGTGCCTGTATAAGGCATTTGCTCAAACGAAAGTGACAAGTTTTGTGCCCCTTGTCACAAGGACCCTAGATTTCTATTGGGTGTGTTATAAATGGCTGAGAAGCCATTCTTTAGGCCACTGACTCTGAGTACACCCCATTTAAATTTTTAAATACTGTAGTCAAGGCCAGCCAAATAGCCCAGAGGATTAAAGCACCTGCTTAGGCAGAGGTAAGAGGCAGGAGTTCAATACCCTGGCCTGCCATGCCGGCCCCGCCCCCCGGGATGCACTGAGATGGCAGTTGAGACTGGGTGTGGTGGTAGGCGCCTGTAATTCCAGCTCTTGGGAGATAGTAAATAGGAGGATCACTACAAATCTGACCTACGTAGTGAGATCCTGTATACCCTGTCCTAAAATAAACAAATACTGTAGTCATTGCCACTTTGATAACTTCATTATCTGCCCAACTGTAACACAGAAAAAAAATGTCCAAAATAAGATTTTATTGAAGTATTTGAAAGAATTTGTTTAATCTCATGCTATTAAGCATTACCTAGAGTTAACCAGCCTGCTACACTCAGGGATTTCACTAAGGATGACAGTCCAAATATTCACAATAGTTAACGTTTGTAGAATATCTAATACAAAGACAAATAAACTTCATTGCAGATATTCTTGAGAAATGTATATTTTAAATATATATTTGAAGGTAAGTTCAATAGCTATAAAAGTAATGCATGTCAATTTTAGAAATCTTAAAAAATAAAATCAAGAAAAATTTACACACAATGTCTTAACCTATAAACACAACTAGTATTTAGGGATATTTCCACGTAGAACTCTCTTTTCCATTTTAGCTAGCTTCATCTCTTCTGCCCTTCCATTCTTTCATGTATCTTTATTTCTTGATCAGACTTACTTGTTTGTTAACTGTGCTATCCTCTCACTATAAGGTATACATTATGAGTGCCAGGGGATGTTTGTTTTGTTCACCTCTGTATATCCATTTGTTGGAAATTCATTTGTTTGACTAAATGAATTAATAGTCACTTAAACATCTATTGATCTGCCTAGCTCCATTCTTGCTGTACCAGGGGTTTAAAGACTTTACCACTCCTTGTGGGACCCTCAACTCACTCCCCTTAATTTGATTGCTAGGTAAAACTTTATCAACTTTAATATCTTGAGCATGTAGCTACTTGCATTTTCTGGTGTATTTTACTTGCATTTTTGGGCAAATAAGAACTGTATGAAACTATGCAAATAAAACACCCAGAACATTGTTTTATATACTAGGATTCTAAACTACTGGTAGATGAGATTATCACTAGATTTGTGTAAGGGGTTTGTACTGAATGTTTGGTGTTAGGATGATAGTTTAGAGCATAGCATCTTCCATGTAGGGGAGATTTAATTGTTAATACGGTATCCATAGATACGATTCTAAGAAATCAATTTCCATTCCTTTTTCTCTCTAGACAAGGGGTCCATATATTAACCAAAGAATTCCATGTTATCTTACCAACTTAAGAATGTGCCTACATCCATGTTCAGTGGAACATAGTTTTTCTTGGGGGGGAATATGACATTTACAAGAGACCTTTAATCTAGAAAACTCAGAACTAAGTCAGGGAGAAGGATTGAGAGATACTCCTCTTACTCTACCGGGCATATGCCTCCCAATGCTTCTTTCTGAAGTAAAAAAAGAAATGATAACTATAATGAAAGAACCACAAAGTGCTTCTAAAGAAGACACTGAAAAAAAATAGAGGAGAATAGAAAAATGATAGAATCCTTGAATGAGCAATACAGGAAAGAAATAGAATGCATGAGGAAGATTCAAAATAATATGCAGGAAATTAAATCAAATCAATCTTGAGCTGGCAAAACCATTTGCATGAAAGTGAAAATAGACTTTCAGACCTTGAAGACACCATTGCAGCTAGTGAAAAGGTAAGAAAAGATCTCTTAAAATCAACTAGGACACAGGAAAATTAAAGAATTTCATGATGACAAAGCCAAGCCTATACAGACTACTAAAAGATATTCTAGAGAGGGATCAAAATGCAGTGAGATAGTGAGGTTAAGCTTGATAGCCTAAATCGTTTGATAATAACAATAAGCTTATCTTCTGGATGGTTAACAACCTAAGTTTGCA